CGTCCATTTTTGATTTGTTTATAAATTTGATAATGAGTAGAGTGGAACTAAAACATATAAGCTCAGGTGGGGTGGCAAAGCATAATTTTGCATATGAAGGATTTATTTTCCTCTTTACCTCTTCATTAAAAACTATAAAAATGGGCCAGGGATTTAGCTCAGTGGTTCCTGTGCCTTCCTCGAAAGCACAAGGTCCCAAGTTGGATCCCCGGTACCCAAAAGAAAAAAGAACTATAAAAATGAAAAAAGTGTCCTATTTGAGGACAATGAAATATCCACACGAGGGCACTATAACCTACAAAATAAGAGATTGTCAATCTAAAGACCAAGATCTTTGTAAATTCTAATTAGGGTACTTACTATTGATAAAACATGCTTAAAAGAAGGCGTTTGGTATGCAAACAGTGCTCCTCAATGCAGTTCTCAAAATGTCCTATTTTTCTGTAGGCGAGTCTACAGGAGGATTCAAGACCTAGTTTTTTTTTTTGGTACCAGGGATTGAACTCAGGACCTTGCACTTACGAAGCAGGCGCTGGAACCACTGAGCTAAGTCCCAGGCCCCAAAACAAAAATTCTTAAAGAAACAAGTGGGGATGTAGCTCAATGCAAAAGTGCTGTGTTCAACACCCAGTAGAATACATAAATAAATGAATAGATGAGGTGGATGCTATCATGAAACTTATCTTCTGGTGGGGGAGACAGGCTTTAAATATATGTTGATATAATTACTTAATTAAAACTATAAATAGTATAAAAGAAAACTCTTAGTAAAATGAAAAGCCTATAAATGATTAAAGGAACTTAATCCAGCCTAGTAAATAAAGGGAGCTTCACTGAAAAGAGATATTAAGTCAAACTCTGAAGAATGAATAGAAAAATAACTAGGGAAAAGAACAAAAAGCATTACCATCAGTGCAAGGTATATGCAAAGGGCCTGAGGTGTTATGTTTCAGTACTGAGAGCATGAAAAGTCTACCCTATCTTGATTTTCACATGTCAAATTTTACTTCAGGATATTATATTGCCAATTCATTAATTTCTGCATTTGTATGCCAGATTCAATTTACAGATAAACTGTATTATAAAAGTTTGATAAAAAATTATGTTTAGAATGAAAAATGTTTTCATGACAATAGTAGTACAAAAAATAGTTCCATGAACTGAGGGCCTCTGCACTGAGCTACATTACCACCCCCTTTTAAATTTTTTATTTTGAAGCTGGGCATGGTGGCCCACATGTGAAATCCCAACTTTTGGGAGGCTGAGGCAGGAGTGACTGCCATGAGTGGAGGCCAGAGTGGGCTACACAGTGACACCCTGTCTCAAAACAAAACAAAAAACTTTTACATTTTGACACAGGATCTCACTAAGTTGCCCAGGCTGGACTCCGCCTCCCACCAGGCCCTGCTCTCTTTTTTAATTTAATTTTATTTTTGTTCTTTTGAGACAGGGTCTCACTATGTAGTCCAGGCTGGCCTTGAACTCACTTTGTAGCTCAGACTGGACTCAAACTCTTACAGTCCTCCTGCCTCAGCCTCCCAAGTGCTGGGATCACAGGCATTCGCCACTATGCCCAGCTCCCTTTTTAATTTTTAAATTTTTATTTTTTTGGTACTGGTCCTTTTTTTATTTTTGAGACAGAATATCACTAAATTGCCCAGGATGGCTTTGACCTTTGGATCCTCCTGCCTCAGCCTCCTGAGTAGCTGGAATTACAGGCCGGAGCTATCACACCCAGGTATGCTGCTCTTCTTTATCCTTGTTATCCCTTTAAAAAATTTGTTAGCTGAGAGTGTGGCTAATAAATCAAGAAATAAAAACATCAGGTTGTGTGTGTGGGGTTACAAGGGAGGCCCAGGATGTTTATCCATGAGTAATCAACACACCTCATTTTAGTTCATAAAAAGGGAGACAAAGTAAAGAAAAGTTACTAAACCCTGAGAAAAATTACCATTTATGTGTGTTTGAAGTTCACCAGGTGCTGGCTGGGTATTTCTAATTACCAAACATTCAGGGACAATTATCCATTCTCTTTCTCAAAACACTGTTCTCTACGTATGTGTTTATTCCTAAACGCCTCTGGACAAAGCTCCACTTCTTTCCAGTTAGACTGTTAAAGGCCTCAAAGGCGGTCTGGTGCTGTGACTCCAAGTGACTGGGATGCAGGTGGCATACGGGAGTCCTGCAGGCAGGAGAGGAGTCTGCTGCCCAGCATGCTGGCCCAGGCTCCGAGTCCGGTTACCAGAGAAGGAGGTGAGAGGATGACATGAGCTCGTGAGTTCAAGACCAGCCTGGGCAACAAACCACTCACTTTTTAAAAGCAAAACATTTATTGGTACATTTTAGGCGTACATAACGTTAACACTCATGGTAGGGAATCTGCACCCGTGAGTGATACAGCCCTCCCCTCCCCTGCGTACAAAAGCTTTGTTTCCGTTTTTTCCTTCAATGTTCACTTTTTTTGTCCCTTCCTTCCTTTCTCCCTCCCTCCTCCCTTGTTCCCCTTCCCATTTGAACATTTTCTTCCCATTTCCCAACATCCATTATACGTTTCATTCCTTATCTCTACTTTCAGTTTCTCAAGTCAGAGAAACAATGCAGTATTTACACATGGATGTCTGATTTATTTCACTTGAGAATGTGGTCTCAAGGTCCATCCGTTTAGCTAGAAATGTCTGAAGCTCATCCTTCTTTATGGCAGAGTAGTACTCCATTGTATAAAAATGCCCCATATCTTCTTTATCCATTCATCAATGGGCACTTAGGCTGTTTCCAAGATTTAGCTATTACGCTGTGGGCAATGTACCATTCACATGTATACGAGATGGATACTGGGGTTTGCCAGAAAAGGACACAAGATTGCAAGCCAGATGCAGTTAGCTTCCTATTGCCTTAACAAATTACCACAAATCTAGTGGCTTTGCCTAAATTTATTTCTCTAGGTCCAAGCTGACAGGAGTCTCACTGGGCTGAAGTCAATGAGTTGGCTCTAGGCACGAGTCCATTTCTTGGCTTTTTCTGACTTCAGGAAGCTAGCACATTCCTTGGCCCCTGGGGCTCTTCCTTCTCCATCTCAGCCAGCCCCAACTGGCCGAGGCCCTTGCTGCCCGCTTTATTCCTCCCTGCTTCCCACAGCCCTTGTAAGAACTCTTACGGATACATTTGACCCACTCTGGTAATCCAGGACATGATTCCACCTCAAAGTCCACTCTGGATAACTTAGTTCTCTCTGCAACCGTACTTTCTCTTGGTCATCTTAATCTATCTCATTCACAAGGTGCAGACCATGGGAGCGAACTATCTGTGTCACCAGCGGGCTGTCTGTGTCACTGAAAGCTGTCACTGCTTTAGGGTCTTTGGGATGTGGGGGGAAGGTTCTTTTTTATGTTGTTAATTCTAGCTTTCTTTTATTGGTACATTTTAGATATACATATTGATCACATTCATCATAGGAAATTTGTACTTGTACAGATATATCTTGCTTCTTTTCTTCCCATTTCCCTCCCTTCCCGTCAACTTTTCTTCCTCTAGGGGAGAGGGTTCTTTATTCTGCCTCCGAAGAGTTAAAGAATCCAAAAGAAGCTTGGATTCCTGCCTTGAAGGTTCATTCCTTCCTTATCATTCAAGCATTGGTTAGAAAAACTAAGAAACGCCAAGAAGCTTATCTTTATACCTACCGAAGAGAGTGGGGTTTTTCCGCTTTGAGTTTTTTGGTTTTTGGTTTGAAACAAGGTCTCTGCTATGTAGTCCAGGGTGACCTTGAACTCTCAGCAATGCTCCTGCCTCAGCCTCCAGGCCCAGCTTGAGTTTTAGTTCATTGTTTTGAATTTTGTTCTCCCCAGCACCAAACAAGACTATTTTTAGGCTAAAAGCCGTCTTTCTGAGGGTCTACTCCAACTTGGCGGCTTAGTACGTCCACACAGGAGCTAGTTTACAATAAGCGGGCACTTTACACGACCAGAAATGTCTCCCACCACGACAAGGTCTGAGGAGGTTTTGGAACCTGAGTAAGGAACCTAACCCACCCTACCTATAGGACAGGTTTGCAAGTTTGCTGACTTCCCTCATGGAAGACTTCAGGATATGTAAGGCGCCTGGGAAAGAGTTTATAAGCAGAAATTTAAAGGTGCACACTTAAAAAAAAAAAATAGATCGCGAGCCTTCAAGAGCACAGCGCACTGATTTCCCGGCCTAGGAAACATTTAAGCTTCTCTCTCTCTCTCGTGGAGGTGGAAACACCAGGAAAGGCGGCTGCCTCCCAGACGGGTCCCGGCCCATTTCACAGGTGTGGGCTATTTATTATCATTTGGTACCGGGGATCAAACTCGGGATCTTGCGCTCGCAAGGCGGGCGGCGGAATCACTGAGCTAAATCCCCGGGCCTATTTATTATTTTATTTTAAAGAGAGGTAATTGAACATTCTTTGGATCCTCTCAACCCGTTCCTTTATCTTAGGATCAGGATCCTGCTCTTTATTTTCCCAATGAAGTCAATTTATGGACTTACAGTATTGTCGAGGGATCTGGGGGGGTTGTTGGGTCTGGAAGGAAAGCTGATGCGGAGCGCCTGGAGTCGCAGTCTTATAAAAGCACACTTCTTAGTTGTGATTTTGTCTCTTTTCCACCCATCTTTGTATTTCTTCTATCCCAGGTCACCCGGAAGTGTAAAGCCATGATTTCTAGTTGATGAAACACTCCTTCTTGATTTGTCTGTTTGCTGGTCGTCAGAAGCCGCACCCCGCTCCGCGCGGGGATGGCCACAGCTCCCAGCGGCAAGTAAGCGCTAAGGCCCAAGGAGGCGCGGTGCAGCCTAGGACGTCCCTGAAGCCCCGGACTGCTGGGACTGCGGCCCCGGAGCCCACCGGGCTGCAAGACCGCAGTTGGCCCAGTTTGTAACCAACCAGGCTTTCGGCGCAAGCGCGGCGGGCAGCTTCCGCTCTCCAGCCCCGCCCCCGAGCGCACCTCAGGCCCCCGCCCCCACTGTAGGCCCCGCCCTAGTCCGCTCCCGCCCCGCCCCGTTCCATTTAATTGTTCGGTTGTCCGCGCTGCAGCCCGACCCGGCGGCCAGCAGGGGGCAGCATTCGAGCCTGCTTTTCCCCTCAGGCCTCTCCGGAGCGGGTAGGGAGGGCGGACGCGAGGCCGCGGTTCCGTCCGCCGCTGCGCTTCTTCCGGTCGAGGCTCGCTGGGGAGACCGCGGCTGCCGCTGCGGTGCGCCCTGACGTACGTCGGCGTCCCCGCCTCCTGCGTCCGTCACCAGTGACGAGCCGGCTACGTCAGTCCCGGCCCCGCGGTAAGTGGTTCTGCCCGCCCTCGCGGCCGCCCTCAGCCTCTGGCGCTCGCACCGGTCGGGAGGAGCTACGTGGGCATCGGCGACGGCGGGGAGGGGGCGGGGCGCCGCGGCTCGGCGAGTGGGTGCCGTCAGTCGCGGGGCGCCGTCGCTGCTTGGCCACTTCCGCTGTGCGGACGCGAGGTCCGGCGGGGCGTGGGGCCGGGTGGGCGTGGCGACAGCCCGTCCCTCCTCTGCCGCCGGATCTCGCGGTGCGGACCAGGCCGGGGCGCAGCGCTCCACGTCTCTGTTTTTCCTCTCCTAGATGCCAGAGGTTCTCCTGCCCTCGGTTTCCTCTTTATAAGCAGCCCGTTTTCCTTCGTCACTCACACTCGTCTTTAATCTCTGAACTTAGATTTAAACACCGTGTTTGGGCCGATAAATGCTGATTATTAAAACTCTTGTTCTAAGCCCAGCTCTTTAAAGTGACTTTGATCCCGCATGAGCAGTGGTTAGTGCGTCGCTGGTTCCGTGTTGAGAGTCACAGCGTCGTGAGTCTGGATACAGGGGTGTCACAGGCGCCCCGGGGTCACCCTTGTGAGCGTGACGTTGTCATGACGGCGATCCTTTGTGTATCTTTGTAAGAATATGAGAATACATTTTTATCGGATGTGTAAACACAGAAGAGCTTTTTAGTCGTTTTGCTTTTGCATTGTCCCAGAAAGTTGATGAAATTTGCCTCTACTGATGAGTTTTAACAAACTCCAGACCCCGTCGGTAAGAGACTGCATCCTAGTTTCCTACAGGGGCGAGTCACTGCAGAATTAAAATCTTGCCCGGCGTGGTGGCGCACACCTGTGATCCCAACACCCGGGAGGCAGAGGCCGGAGGATAGCTACATGTTCGAGGCCAGCCTGGGCTACATAGTTGAAGGCCAGCCTGAACTACACAGTGAGGTCCTGTCTAAAAAAAAAGCAACCGAAAAACCCAAAAATCTTGTGTAGAATTGTTATTTCATGAAAAGGAGGGGAAAGTTTCAGATTATTACCATTATAAATATTTGTCTGATTTTGTTTCCCCTAGTTTGATTTTTCTCTACAACTATCTATTAGGCCAGAATACTGAGCCAGGCGTACTGTGGAAGTAGTTTACAGTAAGTCCCAGATTTAGGAACATTCCAGTTGCAAGCTTTCACCAATATGAATGGACTTCGCGTTGCGAACTTTGGTGGTTGTAATCTCGAACAAACTGCAGAAGTAGCTCATGTGTCTGCCTGGCACAGGCACAGCTGTGCTGCCGTGTGCTCACTGTACAGTGTGATGGTGCCCAGTAGTGCGGCACCCCATCAGAGCCCAGGATGTCTGGAAGCAAAAGGAAAAGCTTTACTTTTTTTTTGAGACAGGGTCTCACTATTTAGTTAAGGCTGCCCTCGAAATCCTCCTGGTTCAGCCTCTTTTGAGTGCTGGGTTTCAGGTGTGTGTCGCCACATCTGGCTTAATGGTTTGTTTTGTTTTGAGACAAGGTGTTGCTCTAATTCAGGCTGGCCTTGTACTCACTATGTATTCCAGGCTGGTCTCGAACTCAGAATGATCCTCCTGCCTCAGTCTCCCAAGTGGTGGGATTGCAGGGTGCACCGACGCGACTGGCTACATTGCATACTGTTGTCAGAGGTGTATAAAATGCATTTTGTGGGACTGAGGAACAACTCCTGCGTGAGTCGGGGACTTACCAGGAAGGTGCTCAGGTGTCCCGTTCCATTTAGAGGGACTTCTGAAAACTGAACAGTGCAAATACTTAATAGCTTAACACTTAGAGACTTTAGTTTTTAACACCGTTTTAAAATCATTGGTATTTTAGGGTGCAACATTGGTGAACTAGGAAATAAACCTTAAATGTCTGAATTTTGTTAAGTGTTTCTTTCACTGAAGTAATGGATTCCATATGTAAATGCCAAGTTGGAGAAGAGTTACTGTGCATGGGATGTGGTTTCAATATTACCAAAACAGGAATTAAAGCTGAGTGTGGTGATGAATGGCTGGAATCTTAGCATTCCGGAGGCTGAGGCAGGGGGAATCACCATTAATTTGAGGCCAGCTTGGACTACTTAGTGAGACCCTGTCTCAAAACAAACAATTGAAAAAACAAACATGTTTTTAACATCTGAGATTATACTTTAATAATTTCCTTTTACAGAATACATAAAGTATTTTTTCCATGAGAACTTCGAAATAAAGAGTATTATGGTTAAGAATAAATGCTTTCCTTGGTTTTCTTTTTCTGATGATCAAAGAGAATAGAGTAAAACCTAAGATAACGTTGGTGGGCAATTTATCTCGACATTACAGTACTTATGAAACACCTTAACTCTTACCAGATAAATTCTGTTATAGCAAGGTTTAGAAAGTAAAATGAGCTGGGTGAGGGGTTGTGACTGTAATCCCAGCACTTGGGAGGCTGACATGGGAGGATCATGAGTTCAAGGCCAGCCTGGGCTATGTAGTGAGTTTGAGGACAGTGAGGCCTGCCAAAAAATAGAAAATGTAAAAACAGTAAAAACAAAACCTATTTTGCTCAGGACTGCCCTTCCTAAGGCTGTTAGAGGAAGTTACTGGCAAGGGGATGTGAAATAATGATTACAATTAGAGAAGAACACATAGGCACAGAGTGGCAAAACTGTGGAGGTTTTGCATAACCCATGGTCAGGGAGGATGCTGGCCTGTAAGAGCTCAGCAGGCTCTGCGCAGGCGGGAAGCATCTTCATGTACATTTCTGTGGACTAGAATGATCAAGGCAATTCATGCCAAAATTAAGCTGGGCTCATGGTGCACCCGGCTACCCAGCACTCTGGGAAGTTGAGGCAGAAGGGTTGCAAATTCAAGCCCATCTTGGGCAGTGTAGTGATTTAGCGAGACCCTATCTGAAAAAGAAAGGACTAGTATGTAGCTCAGTGAGAAGCCTTGAGTTCAGCCACTGGTGCTGCCAAGGAACAGTCAAAGCCCTGCAGTTTTAAGGTTGGGGCCAGGGCTTGTGAGGGTGCATGCCTGTAATCCCAGAATCTTCGAAGGCTGAGGCAGGAGGATTTCAAGTTCAGGACCATGCTGGGCAACTTAGCAAGCAGCAGATGGGAAATTAATTGGAAAAGATGTTTTAATAGTTGGTCCTTTAGTGAGTGTAACAGATTCAGGGCTCTTAAAAACAGGTATGTCAAGCTCTGTGCTGAGGTTTCTGGGAGTAGCTTTGCATCTATGTTAGCCTCATTTTATGTATTAATTCATGTGTGAGATATTAAAGATACTATTTACAAGTGTTTGGAATATTTATTTCCAAGAGTTCACGTTTACATAAACGTGTAAAAACTTATTTCAAAGTTACTGTAAGTTTCCTTTACAAAGCGTACAAGGCTTTGAAAGTCACAGAACTTTCTGCTTCCTAAGGTAATGACAGCCCTGGCCCATCTCTTCTCAGTTCCATATGTGTGGCTGTTTGGAATTCTCTTTTTCTAGTGATTTCTCCTTCTCCAGTTTCCCCTCCTCCCCTCCCCTCCCCTCTCCCCCTCCTTCTCTTCCTTCTTTGCCCTGGGGGTTGAACCCCAGGTCTTTGCAGTGCACTATTTCTTCAGTCCTGATTTAATTTTGAAACAGGGTCTCACTAAATTTCTCAATTGCCCAGGCTGGGCTGAAACTTGCAGTCCTCCCGCTTCAGCCTCCCAGAGTGCTGGGGTCACAGGCGTACATCACTCAACTCTTGTTTGTGTACTGGGGATTGAACCCAGGCCTTCGCACTGAGCTACATCCTCAGCCCTTTTATTATGTTTTTTTTCTTGAGGCAGGCTCTCACTAAATCACTGAGTTGCCCAGGATGGGCTGGAATTTGCAGTCCCCCAGCCTTAGCCTCCCAAAGCGCTGGGATTATAGGCATGCGCGCGCACACGCACACACACACACCCCTGGGCTTGAATTCCCGACATTTCATCCAAGTAGCTGAGAAGGGCCCTCTTTACGACGTGGGCTTCATGTTCTTCCAGTAGCTTTCAACCGTTACTTACTGTTGCTCCTTATGTCATAGTTAACTGCAAAGATCTTCCAGAGAGCTGAATGTGTTCTTCATCCTAGAATTAAAGAAATACTTTGTACTTTTCTATGTACAGTGGACCCTGGAGTTACAACTGGCCTGGTAACTACGAGCAACTTGGGTTACGACCAGAATTTTAGTTTTAACTTATGAACAAAGTCTTGAGTTATGACCGAATGCTGGCTGCTTGTGCTTCCAGATGGTCTCAGATACAGATTTAACCCTTAAAGAGTTCTGGAAGGAGCATGACAGCATCCTCTCCTGTGTGGGGTAAATTGAGGAATCCCAGGCCAGTGTCCCTCTAAGGACACTGAGCTCTGCCTTTACACAGGAGAGAGACTTTGAAGGCTGTGTAGAAGGGCTGAGCTTTCAACTGATCAACTTGAGTTAAACCTACCCTCAGGAACAAATTGAGTTTGTAAGTCAAGGGTCCACTGTACTTTTTCTTCCAGCTCCTCTTAAGAGGTGTGCTGCCTTGTAGTCCACATTTTTTTTCTTTTTCTTTTGGCTGTCCTAACTGTAGTAGTTTGGATTTTTCTTTAATTTATGTATTTCTTTTTAGCCTTTCTTGACAATGCTATCTCAATAATGCATAATTTTTAGGATTTTAAAAGTTGAACAAGAATTTAGAAGGCTGGGCCTGATGGCACATGCCTGCAATCTCAGCACTGAGGCTGAGGCAGGAGGATTGTGGAGTTCAAGGCCAGTCTGAACTGTAGGGCAAGACCTGTTTCAAAAAACCAAACCAAACCAAAAACTTAGATTGTCTTGCAAGTGTCTTATAAAGAACTCTTCATTTTTGTAATATTTGCCACTGTTTTATAGTTAACTCAGATTGTAATATCTGGTCCAAAAGGAGAACTTTTAAAAACTGCCTTTATTATATTTCCAAAGCATTTTTCTTAGTTTCTAGAACAGCAGCTCTCTTTTTTAATCATTTCATTTATATAATTTTGTGTGTGTGTGTGTGTGTGTGTGTGTGTGTGTTACTAGAGATTGAACCCAAGGGCACTTTACCACTGAGTTACGTCTCCAGCCCTTATTATTTTTCTGCAGGATCTCCCAAATTCCCCAGGCTGGCCTTGAAAAATGACATCCTCCTGCCTCAGCCTCCTGAGTAGTTGGGATTACAGGCATGCACCATCTCCTCTGACTTCTCATTAATCATTTTATCTAGCATACTCTTCAGCAAGTGTGGCTGTTGAGATACACAGTTAACTTGGTGAGCAGCTGTCGGTGAGCAGCTGTCGCTGCGCTGCTGGTGGGAACAGAAGTGCAGGACCCTGGCAGAGAAGCACATTCGGCATTAGCTGGGCGAGGCTGTGTGCAGAAGCGCAGGGCATTGGTTAACGGAGAAGCTGGCTGGGCAGAGCAAATTGCATGGGTAAGCTTGCGTTTCTAGTAAGGTTGCCTAAGAAGTTTCTTACTTTACCTAACTCTGCCACAAAGTTATGTTGTGATATTAATGTAATATTATGTTTTCTCTGATCAGCATTATTTAACTTTTTTGTGGTAATTAATGATTGAACTCAAGGCTTCTGCACTGATATGCATCCCCACACCTTTAAGAAAGATTTTATTTTTTTGAGACAGGTTCTTGCTTCATCTCTTGAATTGGGCAATGTGACTCTAACTTGCATTCCTCTTGCCTCGGCCTCCAGAATGCTGGAACTAGATTGCTGCCACCATGCCAGGTTGATAGAAAGTTTTTATCAGTAGATAAATGGCTTAGCACGAAAAGCAGCAGAGAAATCTATAGAAGGCTAATACCTGGGGTGAGGTACTGGGGATTAAACCTGAAGCCTTCACCAGCGTGTTTTAGACAGGGACTCACTAAGTCGCTCATTTGCCTAGGCTGGGCTCTAACTTTCTACCCTCCTGCCTCAGCCTTCCCGAGTGCTGGGATTACTGGCTAGCGTGTGCTATTCCACCCAAGGCAGGCAAATTAATTTATTTTCTCTCTTTCTTTCTTTCTTTCTTTCTTTCTTTCTTTCTTTCTTTCTTTCTTTCTTTCTTTCTTTCTTTCTTTTTTCTTTCTCCTTCCTTCCTCTCTCTGTCTCTCTCTCCCTTTCTTTCTTTCTTTTTTTCTCTTTCTTTCTCTCTCTTTCTCTCTTTCTCTCTCTTTCTTTCTTTCTCTCTCTCTCTCTCTCTTTCTTTCTTTCTTTCTTTCCTTTCTTTCTTTCTTTCTTTCCTTTCTTTCTTTCTTTCTTTCTTTTCTTTCTTTCTTTCTTTCTTTCCTTTCTTTCTTTCTTTCTTTCTTTCCAGTAGCAAAGTTTTATTAAAGCCAGGAAAAGAAACAGGCTGTGCAGAGCAAGTTTGGGCCAACTAAAAGGAAAAGAAGTGCACCCTATGGCATGAGGGTGGGCACCATGCAAGAGCAAACACAGTGGCCTGATTTTCTAATTCGTTTTTTTTATTTAATATAAGCTATTATTTATCTTTAATAAACAGTCTTAACTATGTTTGTCTGCTGTAAAAGACAAAGCTTAAGTCCCTTGGCAGATAGGACTTCTAAACATTCTGTAGAAAATTGGTAGAATAAAGGGCATGATATCAGTATCCTTAGTGATTTTTTTTGGAAAGTATTTATTGAGAGAAAGATAGCTTCTGTCTAAGAGAGACAGAAGGGGACCCAGAAAATGGGTTGCACCTTCTTAGTGCTTTTAGGCTTAAAGAGATCACTTAAAAATTTAAAGCTCAGGGCCGGGTATTTAGCTCCGTGGTTCCACTGCCTGCCTCACAAGCTAAGGACCCGAGTTCAATCCCCGGTACCAAAAACAAAACAAAAAAAATTTAAAGCTCAGATGTTTGAAACATGATGATGAATTCTAGGGCATGAGTTAGGCTAAGTAGAATCATTTATATTGTCCCAAGCCAATTGTCTTACTTTTCTCTCGCTGCTGAGACAAAATATCCAACACCCAAAGTTAAAGGAGGAAAGGTTTGTTTAGCTCACAGTCTGTAGAGGTTTCAGTCCATAATTGGCTGGCTCCAAGGCAGGGTGACACCGCAGAGGAGAAACAGTTCATGGCAGGCAGAAGACAGCAAAGCAACAAGGGATGACCACAGCTCTTTCTGCCCCTTATATCTTATCCAGGCTACTTAAGGCTGGTAGCACTCATGCCCTTAATCCTAGCGCCCTTGAGCCTAGCACTGCACCATGAATCAGTCCGAGTCACACTCTAGATGCAGCCACCTCTGTAAGGCCCCAGCTACGACTGCATGAGGCTTTGGGGGACAGCTAGACACAGCCACGATGCCTGTCCTGGGAACATAGTAGGACATTTGAGCTCTAAACCAGTTTGTGGGTTGGGAATGAGGTCCTGGATTCAGCCCTCGTCTGTCTGGTAAGAGCCCATCCCAAGAGTTTTAAGACTGATGTGGGCTGCGACCGGTAGTCTAGAAAGCAGCTGAGGTTTCCAAGTGTACAGAGTTTATATGGATGTAAACGGGGACCCCTGCCTCACCGACCCCCACCCCCACATGGGCCGGTGGAGTGGCAGGAATGGCACACCTTGGTCTACATGCCTTTGCAACAGACTTTATTAGGGCTCTATCCAAGGACCTTAGATGTTCAGAACTTGGGATGTTTCAGGGCAAGAAGGCCCTGGAGGATTTAGGTGGGGAAGTAGCATGTTGCGTTTCACACTAAGTGTTGTGGCCAGGGAGTGGACTGCAGGAAGCTTCGAGGGGTTAGAGCGGAGTGATGGCAGGGAAACTGACCTGCTTAGAGTCGTGACTGCTTTCAGTGAGCAGGGTTGGGATTACTGCAGTGCCCGAGAGGGTGGAGAGGAAGGAGTGGAGGGAGGGATGTTTAGGAGTAGAATTCCTGGAGCTGAGTAAGCTGACCTCCTCAACTCCATTCCAAGCACAACTAGACATTCTGCATTCGTTTCTTTGCTTTCTTCTCACAACGTGATTTGGCAGGAAAGAAAGAAGAGATTAAGCCACACATGCTGGGAGGCTGAGACAGGAGGATCAGAAGTTTGAGCCTAGCCCAAGCAATACAATTTAGCAGTTTAGCAAGACCCTGTTTCAGAAAATAAGAGTAAAAATGACCAAGCATGTAGAAATGTCATAATTTCAACAACTGGCCGAGGTCATGCAGCTAAGAAGAGGTAGAAGTCAGATTCACACGGAAAGCCACTCGACCTCGACACCTGGGGAAGGAAGGGAGGGAGGGGTCCTCGAGGTGCAGTCACTGAGGGGAGAAGAAGCAGGCGGAGCATTGCGGGCGAGGAAGGCTTAGTCCAGAACATTGTGGTCAGGTCCCAGACCCTGACGGAACCTGGCCTGGCAGGCTGGATGGGCTGGGCTCAGGAGAGAGGGCCGGGCTCCGGGAGAGCTGGTGACCAAGATGAAGGGCCAGGGGACGTGTGGAGATTACTGTGCCGGGCCTGGGGACCTGAACCTTCGTTACAGAGTGGCCCAAAGACAGCAGCGGGGGAATAAGTGAGTTGAAGAAAAAAACATAAGGAGGCGAAACTTTGGGAGGAGGCAGTGCTGTGTGGTGCTAAGGAAGTGGGGACTAGAGAGCAGCCTGAGGTGGGCAGGCATCGCCGTCCAGGGCTGCTCCGTGGGTTGGTCGCAGCAGAGCCAGGGCGGTGCAGCCGCCTTTGCTCTGCGAGGACGGCCTTCAGCTCCAGTGGCTGGGTGGCAGAAGGCCTTGCTGTCCCAACGCAGGTGCTTCGGGGAGCGAAGTGGGGGTTGTTCCTGGACTCCACTGAGTACCTCCTCTCCTGTCAAGCTTTTGAACCATAAGTGCACTGCTATTCCAGAAATAAAGCTGACAGCATGACCAAGGAAACGTAGATTGGGGGTCATTTCTCTCCTACATGGTGCCATGGTCTCCGTTGCTCCCAATGTTGTTGTTCCCCGTGGTTTACACGTCTTTTTCTCTGTGTCAAATGCAGGTGTGTGCTGGGTGTGGTGGTGCCTGCCTATAATCTCAGCACTTGGAAGGCTGAGCCAGGAGGATCACCAGTTCGAGGCCAGCCTGGGCTACATAGGGAGTTCAAGGCCAACCTGGACTATGGAGACCCTGTCTCAAAAAACAAAACAAAAGCATTACTGGGATGGCAGGACACTAGTTTGGAGAGAACCAGTTTGGTGGGCCCCGGAGGCAGTGTCCACACTGAGCACCACCACTACGGGCTCAGTTCCAGTCATTCTCAGGAACAGCGTTTGTTCTTTCCTGCACAGACTCCCGGCTCCTTTCTCTTTCTTTGCCAGTTTTACTCCCTTCTGCACATCATTTGTGCAGGGAGGGTCTGGGAGTGGAACCCAGGACCTTACACATCATATGCAAGTGCCCTGCCGAGGGCTGCAGCGCCAGCCCCTCAAACGTGTGAAATCAGCGGTGGAAGGCGGTTTGGATGAACTGTTGATATTTTGCTTAGAGTTAATTTGATTCGTATCTGAATTTAAGTCAGTGAAAAATGACTGAAAAGTATGTTGCTTGACTGAAATTTTAAAAAATGATAAATATATCACTAAATAGAGCTGGCAACTGAGCTGTGCTCAGTGTTTGATGATAGACTGCACTGCTTTCACCTTAGTGGAGAATAATCCAAGAAATAGTGTAGCCTTTAAGTTTTGAGAATTTTTTTCCGTAGGAAGAAAACTGAATGATATATCAACAAGATTGAAGAAAAACAATGCAGAGTTGTCTTCAGCCATCTATTCTGTGGGATTTTTTGTTTTGTTCATTTTTAGTTTTATATAAATCAGACTATTTCTCATGGCTTAGTTTTGAAGGATTTTAATATTTGAAAAATAATGTTATGATTTTACTGCAGAATAAAAAAAAAGGTGGAGAAGGAGCAAAGAACTGATTGCAAATGTCTTAACAATGAGCAAACGTGGCAGAAAAAAGTATGTTCAGACAAATATAAGGTAGGTGGATATAGTTTTTTGGTCTTTTGAAGGTTCTACCTAGAGAGCTAAAAGCTTAAAGTGGTGAATTAATTACTGATATATCTGTGAACATCCATATATGTATGCAAATACGTGTATATATTATAGTACTATGTACTCCAATTGTTCAGCCATTCAACTAAGGCATTCTTTTGTATCATACACAGTGTTATGCTGGCCCTACAGGGATAAGTGAGTATTTATATTTGGCTTTTCCTGAGTGTTGGGTGTCTTTTTGGTTAGAAGATAGTCCATCTTGGCTGGGTGTGGTGGTGCACACCTGTAATCCCCACACTTCGGAGGCTGAGGCAGGAGGACTGCCGCAAGTTGAGGCCAGCCTGAACTACGTAGCAAGACCCTGTCTCAAAAAAGAAAACAGTTAAAAAAGAAAATTGTCCATTGATAAGGAGTGGACAGGTCAGTAGAATTGTAGAATTAGAGGAGTCCCCAGAGTTTTAATTGTCTTCCTTGCCTTAAGCTGGACTTGTACCTAACTTTGTTAAACACAAGAAAGTCTCTACCAGCGTTTTATAGAAAGTTAAGTAGAATTTTTCAAGTTTTTTTGTGTTTTTTTTTGTTACTTTTTGGAGGATTGTTTCTTCAGCTGGAGCTAGCCTTTTTTTAGAAAAACATTTATTGCCACATTTTAGATAACCATAAGTTAACATTCGTCACGGGCATTTGTAGCCGTACGTGACGGACCTCGCGTCTCCGAGCCATCCGGGTACTTGCTCGTGGCTGCACACAGTGCGAGGCCCGCGCGCTCGAGGAGAGGTTTGTGCTGGGTCAGTTCCTGCCCCGGCCCGCAGTCTTGGGCAGAATGGAATGCGGGACAGAAAGCGAGAGCCAAGGGCAGCTGGGGGGCAAGACGCCGTCTGGGTCATCAGTTAAACCCACCTGTGAGCGCCGAGGACTGCGGGGGCAGGGAGCGTGAACCCTGACAGATGCTGGGGAAGCCTTGCCCTGCAGCTCCGGCGTGGCCAGCGCCCTGAGCAAAGGAGAGCGGCTGAAGCCGCGGCCGGGCCAGCCCTTCTGCCGCCTGCGAGCCACGCGGCCCGGAGCGGACGCGGGTGGTCCGCCCGAAGTCTCCCTGCCCATCCCGCGGAACGCGGGCGAAGGTGAGACTGCTGCACGCGTGCGGGATCACCCGCCGGCCCCGAGGCCTCAGCGGAGGGGAGGGCAGTAGTGTTCCGGCGTTAGTACTAGAGTGAAATGAGTATAGCGGCCTTTATGTGTGCATTTGTTTTTGTTTTTGAGACAGGGTCTCGATATGTAGCCCAGGCTGGCCTTGAACTCACAGCGATCCTCCTGGCGCAGCCTCCAGAGTCCTGCGATTACAGGCGTGTTTTATTTTCACCACAGAAAATAATATGTATTAATAATATACGTATTACTAATGTGTGCATCAGTATAGCACTCCTGTGGCGACACCCTCAGGCACTTGGTCGTTCTGCCTATGTTTCCAAAGCATTTCGCACATAACACACTTCACACAGTGTAGAAAGTGACTTGTATTCATTTCTGGTCTACCAGTAAGCCAAGTGTTTCTCAAATTTTAACGTACCTTGAAATCACTTGGATATAAAATATTAATCCCCCCAAAAATTTGATTCAGTAAGTGTGGGGTTGAGTATGGGACCCTTTATTTAGGTACCAGGGATCAAACTCAGGACCTTGCGCTTTCGAGGCAGGCGGCCCAACCACTGAGCTAAATCCCCAGCCCTACTGAGCTAATTTCTTAAAAAAAAAAACCCCAAAAAGTAGAACTGTCAGAAATGAATATCGGAAAGCTAGGTACAAACAGTATTCACTCTTCCTAGCTAATTCAGACGGGGTCTCACTTCTTCTTCCTCTTTATTGTCTTTTCAGACAAATGGCCATGGCAACTGTGGGCTCCCAGCCAGCTAGATGTGTAACGGATTCTGTGGTGGAGAGCAGATCTGCTCATCTGCAGACTCGGGCTGGGCGAACCGCAGTCCCTGCTGTAGCTCAGGTAAGCCCAGGGCAGTTAGCACACGTGGAAGTGAGCGCTGGGCTCCGGGCCTGCCTGCTTGAAGTGGGTGTTAAATTTCTGTGACCCCCGTTGTCAGCCATTGCACTGGTTAGAGTTTGAAGATGCTCGTTCTGGTTGCTTTTGCATAGCGACATACCCTTGTCAGTCCTCCACCCCATGACCACCGTAGCCTGGGAAGGAAGCAGGAAGGCTCCTCCACGAGGCCACAGAGCCGTCAGCGTGGGTCTCAGATTCCGCATCCGAACGGCTGTTATTCTTAGCTGTAAAGATGGCAGAAATCGTAACTGTTTCCTTGTATGTTCTTAGCTTGATCTTTACTTTCTTTTCAGTTGGGTCTTCAAGTTTTTTTTCTTTTAGTTTTAAAAAATTATTTATTTATTTCGGTACCAGAGATCAAACTCAGGACCTTGCACGTTCGAGGCAGGCAGTGGCACCATTGAGCTAAATCCCCAGCCCTGGGTTTTCAAATTTGAATAGGTTTCATTCAGAGAGTACCAGTATCAGTTAGTTCCCAGTTTTCAGCTCCTAAAACTAATTCCTATGTCTATAAAAATAGGTAGTGAAACAGCACATTTATGTGTTAATTAACTTGTCAAATCCTTACCAAACGAATACCTGCTGTGTCTCGGCACAGTTCTCAGTGCACATGGATTCGCAGCTCCCGACCTTGAGCACCTCGTGGTGTAAGAGGGCACACAGGTAACCAAATCCCAGTGGCACAAGGAGTGTGAAACGCACGCCCTGTGACAGTTGGTTCCGCGAGCAGAGGAGGGAGCAGCCCCGACTGGGCCTCCGTGGAGGGCGTTTCATGGGAGCCCTGACCTGCGTTCCGGGCAGAGGGAAGCGTGCGCAGAGGCCTGTGCGAGTGTGCGCGTGTGAGTGTAGCACGGCCGCTGGTAGAGCCGCGCCGCGCCGCGCCGCGCCGGGGCCTCGGGTCTGCAGCGGTGGACCTGGTGAGGGGGCGGAGCTGTGGGTGCCTGTCCACCTTGTGGCCCTGCGGACAGCCCGCCGAGGCACCACGCTGGTCAGCATACACTGGACTCCAGCTGCCCTTGAAACAGTGCCAGTCTCGCCATGTTTGGACCAGGAGGAGCCTGTGGAGCTGGCCCGGACCCGGGGGGTGGGGCTGTCCTTAGGGTGCCTGCTGCGCCCTGGGCTGTGGAGCACAGAGCAGGTGAGCCGAGCACCTGCAGGAGGCCGAGGGACCCACGGCCGACTGGGGGACCACAAGCAACAGGCCCTGGTCTGTCCCCAGCCTGGCTGGTCCTGACTTTTCTTCCTCCCAACACCGGGCCTCCTGCTCGCTGGAGCTGCCGCAGCTCCCTAGCAACGCCCTGCTCTGCAGACCTTTTGCTTCAGCAAATAAAAACAACATTCTTCTTGGTAAAAAATGCGTGTTCACTGTAGGAAATTAACAAACCAAACATTATTAAAAAGAACAGAAAAACTAGCCATCATTTAACACCAGATGCTTCATCATTTTAACTTTCAGGTGTGCATCTTTTAGTCCTTTTGTCCACGAGAACAGAGTAGAAAAGAATAGACAACATTTTTTCCCACGGCTTTGAATCTGCAGAGTTTCTGTCATTCCCAGCCTGCAGTTCTGCTGCTCTTTGCTGAAGCTGTGACTGAAGCGACCTCCTTCCCTCAGCCTCACTCCTCCCTTCACACAGGGGCTCCCCACCTTCCCATATCTGGGCCCCGCAGCGGAGCAGCAGGCCCGCTCCCCTGGAGAGCTCGGCAGGCCCCGGCCCCTCAGGCAGGCAGAAGCGGCCACAGCCCCAGTCGCAGGAAGCTTGAAGCGCAGTCTTGGCTGTGAGAGGTTCTGGAACTGAATAGGAGCCCGGTGGACAGAAACTACTTTTAAGTAAATTAGAGTCAGACAAAGGAAGCAGAAATTGAAAGTACAGACTTTTCAGGAAATTTATCTATGAAATAAATCAGAAGGAGACAAAGGAGTGAGAACTGGGATGTGGGAAAATTGGGACTATTTGAACACGATAGACGTGGCAGCTAGGTCTGGTGGCACATGCCTGTAATCCCAGTATTCTGGGAGGCTGAGGCAGGAGGATGGCAAGTTAGAGACCAGCCTGGAGGACTTAGCAAGACTTTGTCTCGAGTGAATGAATGAATGAATGGGCTGGGAATGTAGCTCAGTATGAAGGCCCTGGGTTCAATCCCCAGTACTCAGGAAAGAAACACAACACAGCACAAAGAGCTAGAGACTCACAGTCTCAAATACATCAAATGCTGATAATTATTAGCCCTGCATGGCAAGTTGGTAGAGTTTGCTATTTCTCTCTCTCTCTGTCTGTGTAAAGCATTTAATAAAAAATAAACTCTGGCTTTTATTTTACAATACTAGAAATATAAAGAAATTTTTTAAAGTTGGTATCCTAATTCTTGGATTATTTGAGTTAACTAAAAATTATCCTCTATGCTGTACATGGTCATGATTTTTAAAAAAATTCTTCATGATTTTTTTGAAGAATTAGATCACAATTCTTAGTCAAAATTCTGTGAGTATAATTACTGATTTAGATTTTTTTTGTTTTTCTGGTACCGGGGATTGAACTCAGGACCTTGCATTTGCAAAGCAGGCTCAGCACCACTGAGCTACATCCTGCCCCTTAATTTAGATTCTTGTAGCCGAAGCTGTTCACTTATGAGTATCTGTTGTTATATGGTACTATTTATTTTGGAATATTAGGAAATCAAGCTGGAATCTTTATTAATCCCATGATATATGCCAAAAGTAACTAATTCTTCTAAATAATTCTTTGTTTTAAATGTATTTATTTATTTTGGTTTCTTGAGACAGGGCCTTGCTGTGTGGTACAAGTTGGTCTCAAACTCCCTGCAGTTCTCCTACCTTAGCCTGCCATGAGTTGGGACCACAGGTGTGCGCCAGTACACCTGGAAACTTTTGTTTTGAGTGGTGCTTTTCTCATCTATTGTTCTAAAGTAAAATCAGAAGTGATATTACCAAAAATCTGAAACCAAGAGCTACCATTAACAAGCCCTGAATGGCAGATAACTGGGGGTTAAATGTTATGATTTGGTTTTCTTCTTGCCTGAATTTTTTTTTTTTTTTTTTTTGAGACAAGGTCTCACTTTGTAGTTTAGGCTGGCCCTGAACTCACTTGGTAGCCCAGGCTGGCCTCAAACTTTTAGCGATCCTCCTGCTTCTGCCTCCCTAATGCTGCGATTACAGGCGTGTGCCACCATCCCTGGGTTTGACATTTTTTTAATTTTATTTTTTATTTTGAGACAGGGTCTAGCTATGTGGTTCAGGCTGGCCTCTAACTCACTATGTAGCCCAGGCTGGCTCATGACAATCCTCCTGCCTCAGCCCCTCTGGTACTGGGACTACCAGCATGCACTGCCAAGCCTGGCTTGCCTAAATTAATGTATGTGTTAATTAGTTGCTTTTTTTGTGGTAATGGAGATTGAACCAGGGCCTCACACATGCTAGGCAAGTGTTCTGCCACTGAGCTACATTCCTAACCCTTTTTATTTTTTGTTATTTTTTTTGAGACAGAGTCTTAGAATCTAGTTCAGGCTGGCCTTGAATTTACTATGTTGCCCAGGCTGGCTTCAAACTGGCCAAATCCTCCTGCCTCAGCTTCCTAAATGCTGGGATTACAGGCATGCACCTCCACACCAGCTGAAAATTTTACTTTGAGAAAGGGCCTCCCAGTTTGCCAGGTTGTCCTCAAACTTGGAATCCTCCTCATCCTTCTGAGTAGCTAGGATTACAGGTGTGTGCCACTATGCTTGGCATATGTGTTGACTTATTATTATTTTTTGGTACCCGGAATTGAACACAGGGCCTTGTGCTAGCCAGGCAGATGTGGGTGCTGCTGAACTCATCCCTGGCCCTATTGACTTATTTTTAATTAGCAGTGATATCTTGTCTGTGAAGTGTATGTTTTGATATATAAGACTAGGATTCTGTCCAACCCTGGAAAATGCTTGATAACCAATTGGAAAGTCTGATTTTTTTCTTCATTTTTAGCCGTGCTGAGACTTGAACCCAGGACCTCGGGCCTGCTGGACACATCTTGTACCACTGTGCTGCATTTCCAGCATAGCAGAGTCCATTTTAAAAAACTAACACGTGAGGAAACTTTCCAAAAACCAGTATGGTGTAAAACAAAAATACTGTGTTCAAGTAGTTTTAAAATAGTTACACTTACATCCTCTAGAAATAATAGCCTATTTAAACGGGAAGGCAAAACTTTTCTCATTGTGGAAGATTTAGGAGTAAAATAATGATCCCACATATATAAAGTTATTGTCAAGATCCTGTAGCATTTTTCTTACTTCTTTTCTTTTTTTGGTGAGATATTCTGAGCAGCTCTGGGGATCTCCACCGTTGTGTCATTTTACTCCCACTCGCTTCTGGGCGTGGGCCTTAACAACTTCTGGGCGACCCCTACAAAACCAAATGCCGTTCTCCTGCCTTGCGGACTCAGCCGTGGTCCCTTGTGCATTACAGGCCATGTTGATGTTCCTCACTTGTCTCTCACACCCGGAGCCTCTGTGAGACCAGCGGAGGAGCGGCTGGCTCTCCTTTCTCCGGTGCTCGGAACTGAGCCGCTGGGGGAGCCGCTGGGGGAGCCGCAGGGCCGAGCCCCGGACGGGCTGGTTCTCCGGCCTTCAGCAAAGACAGCGAAGGACACTCGGAGGCCGGGCAGCGCGGTGCCGGCGGGAGTTGGTTCTGGCACAGCCCAGCCCATCCCGGACCCGTGTCCCGGAGGCAGAGCGGGCGTCTGGGACTCTGTCGGTGATCACACCCGCTGGCCCCTTCCTAACCCTCTTTCCTCGCACACGGCCGGCCGGAAGCGCCTCGGCACGAAGGCGGCCTGCGTGTGGCAGGGCACTGAAGCAGGGTGCTTTAACGAGGCTGCTCGGAGCTGCGTTCAATGTGTGGGATGAACATTTTCTTTTTCAATCTGGTGGAAAACTGGAATAGCATTTCCCATTGTTTTGGCCAGATGTGTTAAAAAAAAAAAAATCCATCTTTTTGGTCCTCCATAGGACTGGGAAGGGTATATACAGTCATCAAAAACAAAATAATAATAAAACCCCTCGAATATTTGCCGTTGACGATAGGTCAGCAACATCGTATTTGAATGTTAGAGATCATCTGCATCCCATTAGGTTGATATGATGTATTTGTTTTCAGTTAGGTAGATCTAGGTTTTTTGAGACAGGGTCTCGCTATGTAGTTGAGGCTACCCTTGAATTCACTATGTAGCTCAGGCTGGCCTCAGACTCGCAGCAATCCTCCTGCCTCAGCCTCCATACTGTGATCACAGGGATGCACCATTACGCCCAGCTAGGTAGATCTAGTTTAAGCTCAGGTTCAGTTAATCATGATTTTTAACATTAGTAAGATAATTCCCTTAAGTGATGGCCTTTTACTAAAGGAGAAAAACATTCCTCTTAATATTTGAGAGAAGCCAGGCATAGTGGTACACAGATGTAATCCTAATACTTGGGAGGCTGAGACAGGAGGATTGCTGTGAGTTCGAGGGCATCCTGGGCTACAAAGCGAGTTTGTGGCCAGCCTGGACACAGCGAAATCCTTTCTCAAAAACAAAAAATGAGGGCTGGGGATTTAGCTCAGTGGTTTACCGCCTGCTGCGCAAGCTCAAGGACCCGAGTTCGATCCCTGGTACCAAAAAAAAAAAAAGAAAGAAAAGATTTGGCACGTGGTTGACGTAATAAATATTTGCTTTTATAGTAATCTGCTTCTATCTTAAAATGGTAGCAGTAGGCCTTTAGATGAGGTGGCTTGTGCTGTTTTAAACATGTTGTCCAGCTGAGATGTAGCTCAGTGGTACAGAACCTGCCCAGTGTGTGGAAGCCCTAGGTTTGTTTCCCAGCTCCATGAAAATGTCTGAGTAATTTATTCTAATATAGCATTAAATTTACCTGTTAAGCTTAACAGGACTCTGGATAGAGAAGAAAAACTAACTTTTAGTTGTTTTATAAGCAAAGTTTTCGTAATCTGATGCCATGGGCTTATTTAAAATTGTATGTTTTGGGCAGGGGATTTAGCTCAGTGGTTTTACCACCTGCTGCACAAGCACAAAGACCCGAGTTCGATCCCCGGTACCAAAAATAAATAAATAAAATAAAATAAAATAAAATAAAATTGTATGTTTTGGGCCGGGGATTTATCTCAGTGGTTCCAGTGCCTGCCTCGAAAGCACAAGGTCCCGAGTTCGATCCCTGGTACCAAAAAAAAATTGTATGTTTTATCCTCTGAATTTAGGCA